CTGACGCTGCCCGTGACCGCGCGTCGCCCAGCCCCGCCTGTGCGCATGCGTCCAAGGTAGGGAGGCAGAGCCCTCGGCCTCGCTCCCTCTCCCTTTCCTTTATCCCGAAATAGCAAGGAGCAGAGCTCCCTTTCTTCTCCACCTTTTTCCTTTTGCCCGACCACCATCGGCGTCACCGCCTGCCACCACCTTGACCACGCCAGCTCGCCGCCCCCACCTTGACCGCTCCACGCTGCCAGCCCGCGCTCGCGTTTCAATCTTCGCCGTCTGATCCACCGCCGTCGCCGCTTTCGCACTGCCCACGAAACCGCCGCTGCCGCCCGTGAACACCAGCCGAGCTCCCTTGACCACCAATGTCGGTTTCCCTCCTCCAAACCGACCTCTCCTCCTCGCCTATAAAGCCCGCGCCCTCCCCTCTTGTTTCGTCTTCGCCTCGCTCGAAACACCCACGCCATTGATGCCGGCCGCCAGCTGCTCGCCCCCGCCCCGCCGTCGCGACCACCTCGCCACGGCTCCCTCCGCGTCGCCAACGCTGCTCCTCTCTCGTCGGTGAGCTTGCCGTCTGCTTCTTCCCCGTCCTTACCCGAAATAGCACTGAAGACGCCACCCTTCTTCTCCCTCCCCCTCTCACCGCATCGCGCCCGCCGCTGCTCGACATAGCCCGCCACCTTCCATTCCTCCGTTTTGCCGCGCTCGGCCGTGCGCCGCGACCGGCCACTTCCACCGTGCCTCCCCGGCCATCGGCCTCCCTCCCCTCCTTGATTCCCAGCGCCGCCGCAGCCGCTAGCTTCGCCCTCCGCGCTCGCGCCGTGCCGCTCTCACAGCCGCCGCCGGACGCCGTCGCCGGCCCTCCTCCGACCCCGGCGCCCTAATCCGCGCCGGCGGAAAGGATCCACTCCTCCTCCTCTTGCCCCGACGCCGTCCGTCGCCATCGGTGAGCCCTCCACCTAATTTCCTCTCGTTGTCGTCCTCCTTGATCTCCGTGGAACACCGCCGAACCGCCGCTCGTCGCCCTTGCGCCGCGCACTAGCTCGCCGGCCGCCATGCTCTGTCCCGGAGGCCGCCTCTCGTCGCCAGCCAATCTCGGTGCCGCTCCGTCCAATCCGACGCCGGAAACGGATTCCATGAACCCCGGAGATGCTCCCATCCCTTTGAATCGAACCCTCGTCGTCTCGTCGTGTTTTCCCCTTTTGCTCTCCGGTGATTGCCGCCGCCACAATCCACCGTCGTCGGCTCCTCTCGCGTCGATTCCTCTCGCCGCCACGCTCCCGGGGATCCCCTTGACCTCCCCCTGGCTGTCCCAAGGCCGTCGGCCTTCTCCTTTGTCTCCGCGCCGTGTCGCCGCTTCCGCCGCCGCATAACGCCGCCGTGCGTGCGCCGCCGGTGACCATCGGGTCCCGCGTCACCGCGTGCGCGTCGCAACACCATACCGGTTCGGCTAAGCCCGAGCCCGCGCACCCTTCGCTCTTCTCGCGCGCGGCCACGTCGGCGTGCCGGCGAGATTGGCTGCCGCCGCCGGCCGTCGTCGCGCGTCCTCTTCCTGATCCGAGCCGTGGAATGAGTTCCCCTTCTCCTCCTCCTGCCGCCAGTGCTAGCCGCCCCTTCCGGCTCGCCGCCGTTCGCCGGATCCCTCCGCGCGCCGTGGGCCGTCCGATGAGCCGCCCGGCCTCCTCTCCCTTCCCTATCCGACATGACGTCCACGTTGGCGCCACCTCAGCCGTCGGCCCCGCTTGACCGGGTCAAGCCGGCGCCCAGTCAGCCGCCCCACTCCTCCCCCTCTCTCCCGTGCTTGTGGGCTTGGCCCATCAGCGCACCTTCCCCTCGGCCCCTTAAAGCGAACAAAAGTACACATATACTCCCTTCGCCCAAGCCCAGTATCCATCACTCATAAACTAAAAGTCCAAATTTGCTCCCTCTCAATTTTATTCTCTCTTACCTTCTTGTTGACCCACTTGTCAATGAGTCAAAGATATTCTTGAGAATGTCTTTTCCAATATTCCACAAATATTTCTCTTTTCTATAAATTCAATAAATCATTTTTCCCTCTTTCAGAAATCAATTCCTTATTCCAAAATTCCATGAATCATTTTCCTTGGTCAGTGACTGTCAATAATATTCTTGAGAATATTATTTCCATAAATTCCGACAAAACATTTCCTTGTCCAGAAAATCCATTTAGACCTCCAAAATTCATATCCCTCGATCCGTAGCTCCGATCGCCTCCGTTCCACTTCCAGTAATCCCGTAAAATTGAGATCTATTTAATGGCACTACTAATTAGTCTAAATAGGATCTTTCTTTTGGTCCTTTGTTTAGGTTTTCGATTGTTTGCGTATAGTTGCGGTTATCGGATTTTCGTCGATCGCGGGTTTTCTCGAAGATTCGTGAAGCTTCGTGAAGACCTTGAGCAAGGCAAGTCACCCTTTGATCAATTGCCCCTATAATTGAAAAGTCATTATTGTTTTGTTTGCAACTTGCATTATTAGAATCACACACTTAACTTGCTTGGCCTCGGTTTGCGTGCCAAACCGACGGACCTACCCAGTAGTCGCACTAATTTCCGTAGGTCGTACTACCCTGATTCCTTGTCGCTCCACCCTTGTGGTACCTCGGTAATCGTGCTCTCTGAGCGCGTATACCAAATATCCCACATACACCGTTGTTTGTCGAAAACTTGGGAAATGGGTTTGTGAAGCCTTTAAAACCCGACATGTGGTGTCGGTGTGTTTGAAAATAAAATGAATTGTGAAAACTCGCGATGCGGGGGTTGTGCCTATGTGGCACTGTCCCGTATTCGCATATAAGGACCGATTCCTGTGGGAAAACTCATCGAACATAATCAAAGTGCAACCACAAGGTGGAATGGGACACTCTGGCTAAGTAACTAGTCGATTCAGGGAAACCTCGCATGCCAATAGTTGGGAACGCCGGGGCGGGGTCGGACAAACCGGGTTCCTGGTAATGCAAGAACGAGAAGCTTGCTGAATTACCGATCGAGGTGGTTGGAGTTTGATTTGTGAATGCCTAAAATGGCCTATATTTATGTGAGGATTTGATCCTTCTATGTGGCATGAGGTATCCCTGGGTCGGCTTGGGAAAGGCTTTGTCGCGAACCTCTGACACCGGCCAGTGTCTGGAGTAAGTTCGTGTCTTGTGGGTAAAGTGTACCCCTCTGCAGAGGTTAACTAACTGTTCGAACAGCCGTGCCCACAGTCATGGGCGGATGTGAGGTGGTTCCCGTTGCGTAGATTTGTTTTCATGTGCTTTGTGAAAAGTTGTTGTGGTGTGGGAATCGTAACCAGAATCAGCCTATGTGGCAGATGGATGACCTGAGTGGTCAGAAACGAATCTGTGTGATTCGGGATGTCTGTGGGCATCATAGACTAGGCTTCCCGAGTGGAAGCGGATTGCTTTGCTGCTGGGCAGCTGGACTCTGGGAGTCCGCAAAAAACGAATAAGGCTCTGGGAGCCGCCTAATCAAGTGAAATGGCTCTGGGAAGTCGAGAAGTAATGATCTGACCCGGGAGGTCGGTACATTACCTATTGAGTTGTAGAAAAGCACCTCTTAAGTCGATTTGAGACGCAAGTCTCTTTTCGACCCAAACCTAACAAGAAGTAAATCACTTAGTGATTTCAAAAATGATTTCAAACAAAGGATTTGCAAAACAACCTTGCCTCTCTTCCAAGCTTGCATTAAACACCTAAATTCCCGTGACTTGCTGAGTACGAAAGTACTCACCCTTGCTCTATATAAATATATATAGTTCCTCCGCCCTAAAGTTGAAGATGAGGTGAAGTGAAGATTAGGGTTTCGTCCTGGTTCCCAGCTGTCGCCTGTGGTGTTGGGTGTTCGACCGTTGGTTCCGCTGCTGCTGTTGTTGTTGGTGTTCGCCTCGTTCGTGTCGTCGGTTGTATTCTCGGGCTGTCTGAGTTGCAACCTAAGTTAAGGTAAATAAGTCCTCTATTTATTTTAAGGATTGCTATGATTCATATTTGTCACCGTGGGTACCAGCACTATGTCCTGGGACTGGTACCGAGATCGCGGTTTCGTAGGAAGCGGTTCGCGCCGTTTTCCCTATGACACGCTCCTGTCAGGTGCCGTCGTACGGCGGTATCAAATTGGGGTGTGACAAGTTTTCTCAGGGGTTTATTTGTAAAATAAGTTTTCAAAAAGGACCAAAATGTAAAAATTTCAGATACCTATGTATGTATAGACTCTATACCGTAAATTTTGCACGTATAAACTTTATGTATAGAAATAATATATATATATATATATATGTATATATAATATTTGAATTCAAATTCAAATTTGAATCGGGTATATGAACTTTTGACTTATAAACTTTGGGTCTATATACTACTACCTCCGTCCCATAAAAGTTGAATTTCTAGGGGATTAATAACATATTATGAGGATAGACAAATGACTACAATAACCCAATTTAATAAACACAGTACATGCACACATTCCATATATAAACTTGATTAAAAGGAATGTTGAGATAATGTGTTAGAGATGGGATGAAAAGAAAGAAGATTACAAGGAAATGTAATCAGTTTAATGGGTCCCACATCAGTAGAAACACAACTTTTACAGGACAAAGGTTTAAAGGTAAAAATTTAATTTTTATAGGATGAAGGTAGTAGGTGTATAAACTTTAGATGTGTAAATTTAAGGTGTACAAAACTTTAAGTACATAAATTTATTAAAATAGAAAAGTAATGTGGTGTCAACAAAGGAAACCACGTGAGGAAGAGGCTGATCGTGCGGGTCGAACGATCGCCCATTAGAATTTTCGGACTAACTCGACTCGACTAATTAAGATTCGAACTGTTCCAAATCAAAAGACAAGACACAGGAGACATATGAATATGTTACCCAACCTATTATAGGTGATAGGTGACAGAAATTGGTCGGTTCCGTGAAAACCAGACTTTTCGGGCTAGCCCGAGAACACCAACTGTTCTCTTTTATTGGTTCAACCGGATTATATCCGGATGCAATGGATTTCAGGCGGTTTTCGCTTCGGTCTCCCCTCCGGCCCTCCCTACGTCCCGAGCCCCCGCCCCGTTCCTCCCCCACGCACGCGGAAGCGCAGCGGCGGCGGCACACCGCGGGTTGAGGCCACCGGCGACAGCGCTGCACAGCGCGGCGGGACTCCTCTCCTATTCTCGTTCCATCCCCACGTACGCCGAGGGAACCGGTTGACCCAGGTCTCAGCCCCGATTCCTGTCCTCCCCGGTCCAGTTCCCCCCATTCGAAGCTAGGTATTTCCCCCGAAACCCTACAATTTCTGCCCATCCCCCTTCTATTTTGCATTGTTTTTTTGTGCCGGATTAGAAGAAATCCTAGTTTTATTCCGTGCTAATGAACGAATATTAGGCCGATTAGTTGCTATTATTCATACAAATTGTACAATTTCAGATCCGAGGAGAACTTGTTGCGCTGACCTGACCTGACCTGACCTGCTTTGTGAGTTCCATAGTTGGTCTTGGTTCATATGCAGCGGACATACGTAAATATTGGAACCAACGTCTCTAATAGCTAGCAACTAGACCGGTGATGTGTATCTGTAATGAACCTTTCTCTGTTTCGTATGTACACCGAACAAATGATGTAGGAGTATTAGATAACAGAGATGAAGAATTATGCTTTGTCAGTATCTATCCTCCTGAGCATAAAGAAACAGCACATGTCTATGTTATTAGTGTATAAAACCTTTTCCCTTTCTGGATACCTCTAAATTTCTTTGTTGTCTAGTGAACAGATATATTGTACTAGTCAGTTGTTGTGAGAAGGAACACCTAGTTAGTATTAATATTTTTATGGTGCACACTACTGAATTTAAAAGATATATGTACAATGGTTCTAACAAGTGTGGTCAGTACATCATGATCACTTCAAATTATTTATTTAGACTAGATTGGAGTGAGTGGATGGCAGGCATGAGTCCAAATGTGCCACCAGGAAGTGTTAAACTACTGGCAAACTCTGCTGATGGGAATGATGTGTGACATATTTGCTGATCATGTTGCAGCAGGTAGTCGCGCAAATTTATCCAGTCAGGGGTTTGATGAAGTCATATCAAGAAATTTGCCGCAAGAACCGGGCTGTGGGTACAGGACCACTTTAATAACCAATGGGATAAACTTAGGGGCACATACGGCACTTGGATTTAAACCCATCTATACAGAGGTGCCATTGATGGTGGCGAGTTTGTAGAAGCAATTTGGGGAGAAGGGGATGTTACAGTGATGCCTGCACTTTGGCTAAAGGTGCAAGTGCGGTGGGCCTCGTCACCTAACCCGCTGGGCTAGGCCACACGCCCACACCATAAACCCACAAATCCACCTAGAATTGGATTGATATCGGATTGTCTGGTGATCTGCGCCTTTATCAGTTCCGCCAAAATTTATCTGCCAAATACTTGACATTTTGAATGATTGGCTCGTCGTTTTGCTGTATAGCACACGCAGGCAATAATTTGAGTGTAGAAGCCACGACCTACTGAACATGACATATCACTGTATCTCCTTTTTTTGACAATATACCTCTTTAGTGATGGGTCTAAATTCAATTTGGTCTAGATTTGATCGATTTTTTTTATGCAACCGAAAAGTGTGCCAGTATTGGCATTTGTGATTACCATCTACTTGTTTAATTACGCTGGATTTATAAACATGTTCAATTTATTGATTATCACCAACTGGTGGAACATAAACCTGCTATTTCTTTTCATGCAGATTGCTCCAGTACAATGAGCTGGAGATTTCCTCTTTTCGGGTATGTTATTGCCACCGAAAGCTTGTCGTTTGCTTTTCTAATTTCTGAGTCCTGACCTAGTCTCACAGAGCGTTTCAGCAATTGAGCTACCATTTCTATTCAATAGAAAATGCTATTTGTCTATCAGTACCAACCAACAGGCTTGATGTGATTCATAATCTTTAGTTCCTTTCTAAAAAGCCTTCAGATATTGATCCTCAGAGATTTGCTTGCTTTTGTTCCAAAAGTTTACTTTGTCATCCGAACGGAGTCACCAATCTACTACCCTGTCATTCCTTACGGTTGGCTCTTCAGTTAATTGAACTATAATATTATCATAAATAAATTAACGTGGCTATTTAAAATGATTTGCTGATTGCCTTTACGCTCACTTGAAAAATGTGCTCCTCTTGCTTCTTTGGCCCTGCTGAATGCTTGACAACAGCAGCTCGCAGCAGCAGCAACCTGATACAAATTTCCAGGACAACCCTACACAACCATGGTACCCTCCGTCTGTCCTTGGTTCATCTTCACATCCATCCCTGCCCAGCTCGTCCAGTGGTAGTCCACATCAAAGAGCTTCTGATAATCCCCAATCATTGCATGGTCAGCCATCTCCAGCTGAGGCTGCAGGGATAATTGCTCGCTTAAAGGACAAAAGGTTAGTGGCTATCCTTCTTTTCTGATGAGTTCCTTGTAGCTTTCTGTACACAAAGTTGTCTTTGTATTTATACCTTACCTGATCTGAACTGTGGCTTATGGGTTACAAATTGCAGCTGCTTTATTGCTTTTTTTACCCGAGTACTGTATGCATTTCATGTTTATATTAATAAGTGAGAGGTATTGGAATCTAACCAATAATATTAGAGAAATGAACTCTTTATAGTAATTTGGTTCATACAGCAATAGTGATACCAAGGTTGATATTTATAATCTTTCAATTGGTTATGAATGAGTTTTCGTAAAAAGTATATGTTATGAATGAAGATCTGCAAGCTTTTCAGAAGGCACGATAAATTTGCCAAGTCAGAGAGGATGTAAATAAGTGCTAAAAAGCAGTGCCTATGCATGGTTTGGTTGCTTTTTATAATCTCCAAATCTTTACTGTATGTGTATTTGCACAACATTTCCTTGTGGTCATATTTGTTTGGAATGCAAAACTGTTCTATATAATAGTGTCCTTTTTGGCAGTGTTGATGACTTGCAGAGACTGTTGAAAGACAAAGAGGCATACAGTGCTTTCTTCAATTCACTCGATCAAGTTAAAACCCAGAACAATGTAAGATTATGCTGAGTATATTGTTGTTTGATAGTTCGATATTCATGTTGCTAGACATGGACTTTTTAAGTCAGACTAATTATGAATAAAATTTCTGGGTTCCCCCACTAGCTAAAATATCACATTGGAAACTGCTACACATAACTCCAAGCTATATGCTCCAATTAGTTTACTTTTGCTGGCCTTTGAATCTTTGGGTTGCAGCACATCTCCTGTGTGGTGTTGATATGACTTGGGAATTAACGTGGATGATTATTCTAGAAGTATTTATGTTCGGTGCTGACCACTTTTATCTTTGAATAGTTGACTTGTCTAGATGCTAGATCTTCGCAAAATATTTCATCCTACATAGACATTCCTTAGAACTTATCGTCAGTTTGCTCATTTTCTGTTCTTCCTTAATGTTTAGTTGCGGGATGAGCTTAAAAAGGAGACAGTGCAACTTGCAAGTGAGTTATTCCTTATTCGTATTTCTGTAAATCAGCATCCGTTGTTTTATTGGATTGGTTGAACTATGAAGAAGATATAAACTTATTAGCTATTATCGTTTCTAAATCAAATATGGTTGGATGTTGCAAACTTGCAGGGGATAATTTGGAAAAGGAACAGCGGATCTCGGAGATTAGGAATCAGGTTTAGTATTATCAGTTTCATCTCATAAACTAGAAATCACTGTAGCCATGTTGTGCTATTCATCATTATTGAAGAGATAATTAAAGAAACTTACATACAATTAAGATTTAAGACCATAATAATGGAAATTTTGTCTGCATGTCATAATTTTTTTTTTTGCATTGACATTAGAATTGCATTTATTATTGTGCAGTGCACTATTATAAGAACTACAGAACTAGCTGCTGCTCAGGATAGGTTGGCTGATTTAGAAAGGCAAAGGGATGAGGTTATGAAGTCGTATTCCCCTGCTGCACTGCTCGACAAGCTCCAAAGTAAGTCTCTGAACAGCTGCATCATGTGCTCCTTAATAAAATTATGTGCTTTATTATTTGTAACCGAATGTTATGTGCATTAGTGCACCAAATTCATGTCCATCTTTTGTATGCGTGCCTAGTATCTTAGTGTTTGAATGCATACTACACTCATGTAGTCATGATGTTAAACTGGCTTATTATGAGGTTAGGACTGGCATCAGCCAGCGTGATAGTGGTGTATATGTTAGTTCCATTTCAAGGAACCTTGATTAGTTCATTCTGACATTGTTTGAAGTCCAACCATGTAATGTTATTTCTGAAACACCCAAGGGCTGACATTTTCCTGCATTACCTCGGTGCTTGCTCAGAATTGATGGCGAAGTTAGATGAGGAGTCTGAGGAGCTGCATCAGAAGTTCCTGGAGAAGGACATTGACCTCCCTACCTTTGTGCAGAAGCACAAGAAGCTCCGAACTGCCTACCACAAGCAGGCATTGCTCCATCTCGCCGGCAAGACCTCGGTTCGCTGAGATCCGTCACCCTATTGTTGTATGTATCCCATTTTCCTGTATTCTGTACTGCGATAGGCTGTTTATAAGTGCTGCTTAAAATTGTAGAGCTTGCCAAACATCATATTTGGACTGCATGTAGTATTTAAAGCGTGAATTCATCATCATGTCATGGTTTTCACTTGTATCTTGCAGGTTGCCATTTATATCGAGCCGATTTTTTTAGCCTGCTCTTTCCTTTTTCGATTTACCATAATGTCAAAATGGCCCCTAGTGCATCCTTGGTGGGTGCCTTGAACGTCTGATGATATGCCTTATTGCCTTTCAGCCTCATCTTTTAGCTTATGTTTATACTTATAAGTCAAAATTTGAATTTTCAACCTTAAATTTGAAGTTGATTTTGAGGTTTTTTTCATCATAGTTTATTTTTCAGCCTTTGCTTTTAGATCGCTAAGAACATTTATATAAAAGTTTTATTTACAAATTATTTTTCGTTTGCAAATATGCCGTGAAACAATGGCCTCCTTTCGTACTCCCTCTGTCCTATAATATTACAATCTAGGACTGGATTAGACGTTTCATAGTACAATGAATTTGGGCATGTATCTGTTCAGATTCGTTGTACTATAAAACGTCCCATCCAGTCCTAGGTTTTAATATTATGGGACGGAGGGAGTAGATGGCAATATCTTCGCAGTTCCCCTGCCTACTCAACACCCTCTGTCTATCTTCCTCACCTATACTCAACAGTGTAGGGTTATATCCTGTCTCGTGATATACTTCTTTCGTTCTAGAAAAATAATCAAGTCCACTGTAAATTTGGATAAGCATCTTAGTCAAATTCATATATAGGATTTGATTCTTTTTGAGACAAAATGTCGTGCATATATAGTAGACAGGGAGAGAGCCTTTTGCTGAATGGAACACTTCTCTTGAGATGAAATGGAAAGTGTTAGATGATGGAGCTAGATAAGACTACTATAGCATGTCACTGAACCATGTTATAGCAAGAGAAAAGGATATCATTCCCTCCCGTCATAATTAGATCATGTTCTGGATAATATTTGATAAAATTTTCATAGTCCGATAAATTTTAAAATACTAGTGCCGTTGCCATCCTTACCCATGATTAAGGATTCCTTGAGATTAGATAGGAAAAAATGGTAATGCTTGAAATTAACGGCAAGAAATCATCTAACCCCCCCCCCCCCAATGTTATCCTAGGACCTTTGCTGTCGTTCACTCTGTCGTACACAACAAAAACAAAATAATCCATGCATGCGAAATTCAAACATTCAAACCCCCCGGCCTCTACGCCTTCCAAATTTATCCATTCCAACGGCACGTAACGACGCATGGAGACTGGAGAGACGAGCGTTCGGCAGGAGGCAGGAGGAGTCTGTGAGTTAGTTTGTTTCGCGGAAAAAATTTTCTATACAAAAGTTGTTTTAAAAAAGTCATATTAATTTATTTTTGAAGTTTAAAATAGTTTATACTCAATTAATCATATGCTAATGGCTCACCTCGTTTTGCGTATCTTCCCAATCTTCTCTTTCCCTCTCCTCTTCCCAAGTTTTGGTCACAATTTCCCCCAAACTCGCATCGTTTCCATTCCCGCCATTCCAACAAACTCACAGACGGGTTCACGCTAGGGATGAAAACGGAGCGGATAGTTTCCGTCTGCTCCGGATAAAAACGGATACGGATACCTTTCGGATCGGATAGTTCGGATACGAATACAGATATGGTATCGGGGTTTCCGTCGAATACGTATAATAATTCAGATATCTGGTGAACAGTGCTATTCGGATGTTCGCAGAAGCCATGAGATATATCTCATTTCTTTTTAACTCTATAACCTTCAATATACCTTTATAGATTTTTATAGTAGTTTATCTCTTAACACTAGTCCATACTATTAATATTATTTAAATTTTAAAAAATATTTATAAATTATACTTCATTTTATATAAAATGAGCTAATTATATATGTTGATATTTGTTCTAGAAGTTGAGTTGGTTTCGTGTTCCATGAAAAAAGTGTTTCCGTATTTGTGTCCGATCATATTCGATTCTTATTCGTATTCGAGATAATCCGTATTTGAGCTATTCGTATTCGTTTTCATATACAATAAAAAAATGAAAATGGATATAGTGCATTATCCGTTCGTATCCGCTCCGTTTTCATCTCCGTATTGGCTCCGTTCTCATCTCTAGTTCACACCGCCAATAACAGGTGGGCCCCACAGTGACGTCACAGGAAGCTGACCCACCTGTCATCGAGAGCCCACTCAGCACGTCCGTACTCCAACCCACTACCCCCACCACCCAACCCAACCTCCCTCCCTCGCGTGCGCAATGACCTACACAACTCCTCACGCACAATCCGGGCCCGCACGTCAGTGGGGTCACAGAGTGGGCTGGGTAACCGAGTGCGTGGCGGAGAAATCTACTAGTACTTGTATATCTGACTTCTCTTCTCCTCCTCTTCCGATAAACCCTCATCGTCAGTTCGTCACCCACCGTCGCCTCGGGGAAACCGCGCCAGTGAGAAGGCATCAAGCCGTCAAGCACGGCCAGCTACTAGCCATGGTGACGACGCGGGGGATGGCCGCGACGGCGTCGGCTGCGGAAGGGTACGAGAGGGAGAGGGAGGCGAGGATCCAGGAGAACATGGAGCGGATGCAGAAGCTGGGGATACGTGATCTTGCCAACCGCTTCAACCAGTCCGCGACCGGTTTCGCCGGCGGCGGGAGCTGGAGCGGGAGCGATCGCTGGAGGCGGAAGGTGCCTGTGACGGCGGGACCCGCATCCCCATCGCCTGCTCGTCGGTCACTCAGGTTCGGAGCGATTCCTCTTGGGGGAAGTTTCCATTTTGTGGGGTTTATGCAGAAACTGTTGGTGCAATGAGCGGACTAATGTTGATTGGTGATGGATTGACAAAATTTCTGTGCTTGTGGCGGTTTCAAAAATCTTTTTTTAATGCTGTTTATATATTTTTTCATTCCTTTTTTTTCTTTTTCTGCAATCGGTGCTTGGAGCGGACTGCCGTTGATTGTTGATGGATTGAGAAATTTCTCTGTGTGTGGCAGGAAAATCTTTCTATTATGCTGTTTAATTAATTCTTTTGTATATATATTTGTATCTATGGTTCAACTAATTAATCTTCTATTAGAGTCCTTTTGGAGTTTCGGAAATTAATATCCATTGCGCTATGACTAGGACTACTGACAGTTCTTGTTCATCACTTCATGCAATTTTGTTGCTTCTGTTTTTCTCCATTCTTTCTAGACTCTATATGCATTTCACTTCAAATATTTTAGTTTTATAAGTTTACTGTGCTCTTAATATCTTGTGGCGTACCTGTCTTGTCATAATCGGTGTAGTTGAAAAAATGTTGCCTCCGTTGACTAGCCACTACATAATCCCATAACTGTACCCTGTGATCCGCATTCATAATCTTCACATCATCGAATGTTAAAGGGAGATTCGGTTGTAAGGCGATGCCTTTGTGCTAAAACCGGTTTCTATTAGGATTTTTCGCATAGTTTATTTGCCACGAATTTAAATTTCGATGTGTTAATATGTCGTTTACATGAAGAATAATTTATTTATATATTGATTAAGTTTAGGTTGGTTGATACGCATTTCCTTCAATATTACCCTCTAATGGTTTGCATATAAATGGCTCCTTTACTGAACAATATGAATTATCTTGTTTTTTTAACACATGTTTAATTTAGGCTGAAGAGCCTAGATCCTGTTAACTACTGCGAGATTCGGACAAGAAAGGGCAAGGATGTTGAAGGTGGAAGCTCTGTTCCAATTGAGGTTGGGTCCGAGGAAGAAGTTAACGCAGAAGATGCTGCTCCGGTCGCTAAGGAGGATCAGGGCCATTCAGAGGCTATCCAGGATGAAGATGCTGACCACCACCAAGTGAATGACCCCGCTGATGATGATGGTGACGAGGATGACAGGGAGTCTGTGGTGACGTCTAGTTCTCAGGATTGTGAGGTTAATCTAGAAGACATTATTGGGTGTGCCACTTCATCTAAGCCGGCTGGCCCAAAGAAGAGAAAGTTGATCGAACGAAACCCTGACTATGTGTTGCGAGAGCTAGCTTGATCAGGTCCCGTTCCAACAGATCATGAACAGCCTGATCTTATGAGCATGACAGTCTCTTTTTGGTGCCCGTGCCCCGTGAACGATCTGTCAGTATCTTTTGCCGAGGAAAGACAGGTTTATTGGACCAGTGTGTTTCAGTTCATTTGCACGTACGTGCTGTGTGTTAGTGTCATCATCGTTGGCTAGGCAATTGTGGCGCACGCTCTTTTGCTCGAAACTTTTATGGCTGTGCCAACTGCCAAGTATGGTTCTGCTTGATGATATAAGCTTATAATAATGCTCTATGAATCACAATAGGCTACATATATATTCAGCCTAATGCTTTATTTCGTTCGTATAAGCTTATCGGGGGCAGGGGTTCACTTTCTCGTTTTCGGCCTTGTATCGGGCAGTGCCGTCGGAAATTTCAGTCCGAAATTTTTGAACTTTAGAACAAAATTTAGTTAAATTTGAACAAATATCTATCTATTATATACTAAAAGTCCATCAAACTCCCTACAACCGCTCCAAAGCCGTCATGTGGCATTCCTACAAACGCTCTCAAGCCGTCACATGGCACAGTTTAATCTCACCGTTGTTTTTCACTTAAATTGGTGGACCCGTTATTTTACACCATTACATTAGATTTATTATTAAAATAATAACTTCCTCCTGCATATACAATACAAACAGTACTACCGTTACCGTTCGTACGTACGATTGATTTACCGGAAGGAAAACACTATGTGTCTATGGTACCGTAGGAAAAAAAATGACGGTTTTTAGAATAGCTTTTTCTACAAAATATAAAGATCTATATTACTCCCTCCGTCTCATAATAAGAGTAGTTGTGGGTTTTAGTGTTCAACTTTGACCATCCATCTTGTTTGAAATATTTTTATGATTAATATTTTTTGTTGTTATTAGATAATAAAATATGAATAGTACTTTACGTGTGACTTAACTTTTAAAATTTTTTAATAAATTTTTCAAATAAGACGGACGGTCAAACGTTAGGGACATAAACTTTAGCTGCACTTATAATGGGACAGAGGAAGTACTTCACAAATATAGATATGCAGCTAAACTATGATCTATAATAAAAATATATAATATCCAATCAACATTCTTTAAACCATCTTTTAGATTACTTTTAGATTTAAAAAACATGTGACCATGATACCATCGGGGAAAAAATTGACGGTCTTTAAAATACTATTTTCCTACAATATAATATAATGAAGTACTTAGATAAAAAAGGACAAAGCCAAAAAAGCATACGTATGTGATACTGTTGGGAAAATATTAACCTTCTTTAAAATAGGATTGTTCTACAATATAAAGATAAAATATATTACTTCAGAAATATAAAATATGTAGTTAAACTAAGATCTATAATAAAATATATAAAATATCCAATCAACGTTCTTTAAACCGTATTTTAAATTATTTTAGATCAGATATCTAATTTGTGATCATGATGTATTATTTAAACTAAATTATAAAATTTATATTGTGATCTTAAATACATCACGACACATTGGACCGACATATAATAGTTAGTTGTATGATAATTTTTCAAAACAAATTCACATCATATTTTAGGGTGTGAAATATCACTACACAAATATACAATCTAATTTAAATCTACATATGTTAAAAAAAATGAAAACATCACAATTTAGTTATGTTTTTTAAAGTATGTCTGAGATTTAATTGTAATTTGTTTGAGATTAAGATTCTCAAAGTATTTTTTTTGGATATTTTCATAACTATTTAATTGATATTTGAGAAGTGGGTAGCATACATGCTGCATAGATATAAAAAAACTATCAACAATATTTCCTGCTAATGATCTTGCTATAATCCATTATGAGATCTATGGGCACATATTTTTTTTGCCAAATATTTTTAACACAAATGAAGAGTGAAACAACATGCATAATAAACTACTCATGATATATTTTCTTATACTTAAGGAATTTCAATATTTCGGGCATAATTGATGGATATATGCCATAAACTTCACTGACGTGACTATGAGTTGAAAACATAGACACTAAACTATAGATATTTGTTAAAATATAATCAATAATATGGTGCTCTAGATATTATCGTGGTGTTATGCATATTTAATTATAATTTTTTAAAATATCATCGAATGATTAACCTCATTCATTTTCAATAGTGAGTATTTTATCTATATGATAAAAATTTGTGTAATAATGATGAATACCAAAAACAAATTGTGTCTACACTAAACCACAAATACACTGAAAACAATAAAAAGAACTATCTTGATCACCTCCATCTTCTCTTTGTCCTTTCCTAAAGGGCACCAAGCATGGACAATAGAGTTCGCTATATAAGTATATAGCATGGAACATACGACTAAGTTAAGGTGGCCGTGGTAGCTAATAGTGCTCAACTTTTTACTTATCGATGCAATAATTTATGAGCACGCAATCATGAATTAGATATTAAAATTGTGATCCAAGCTGATATTGAGGAACACAACTATAGTGATGCAGGACCCATATTTCAAGGCAATAAAGAAAGAAAGTCTTGGCGGCTACGATCGGTTTTATCTATTAGAGTAGCATTCATGTTTAACTTTAATGGTGCTATCCCATTAATGGATAGAAGTAACGGTATTTTTACCATATTTATATATTGATTTACAAATAAGTGAGACATGAAAACCAAGTAGTGGATATTTGTACTGTATTAATGATGTATTGTGATTATTTTATTGGCGCATATGCAACTTCACCTTTCTCAGCTTTATTAAAAATAAAATAAGTAGTACTACCTCTGTCCCATGATAATTGTATTTTTAGGATTTGAATTTGTCCTAAAATAATTGTCATAGTAGAGTACTAATGATACCATTAATCACATCTCATCCAAATTTATTCTTATTTTACCCTAACTACCATTTCATTCTTACATATAAACCGTTTAATAAGGGGTAATATATGCTAAATGACTTAGAATTACAATTAATTTGGGACGGAGATAGTAGCGATTTATATGTTACTCGGTAAAAGTGTTTTTATTTAAATTTGAGAAATATTCCTATCATTTAATATCAATATGATTTTTTTCACATTCTTTTTATAAAAACAATCAACAAGATTCCCGCGCATCCGTGCGGGCTGCCTTCCCAGTTACTAAAATTTATGAAAAATTTTTAAAAAATAAAAATCTCAGCCGAAATAATATTGTATCGGAGGGGGTCAAAAATGACCGAAATTTTAGTCCGAAATGTCAATTAAACCCTGATCGGGGGCACCGGATTCTTGTTGTTCTGTTGTGAAAGCTTTGAATTCCTGATGAAATCCATCACGTTCATCTTTAAAATTGCAAGTATAAGGTTGACATACATTTTGACAAACTAAACAACAGTTTATAGAGGAATCAACATCACCAAATAGAAGGGCAAACAACAAGTAAATAGCCTCAAAATTGATAACTTTCAAGGTAAGGTGTGCGTGCCTGATATACTATTGGTGACACTGGCTGGAATATACCCAGAGAACATGTTTTCTTTTAGTAGTAGATATACTCCTATATCGTAATTCCTGTGAGATCTCCAGTCAAACTCGTCAATCCTCCATGGAACTTATTCCATGATGATCAAGTCCCTGTAGCATTATTTTGCAGGCTTTCAGAAAAGTTGGAAATCTTCCAGATGATACTGTTGTTACTTAGACTTCCAAGATTTCTCATCCCAAAGCATTATGGAAATTCTCCATCCAAAATAATGTTGGCTAAATCCAACTCAACTAATAATTTCAATTTGCAGATATAAAATGGAATACGACCTTTGATGTTGTTTGAGGCTAGAGATTTATGACATGTTGCTGCTTGTGTTCCTTCCGGATGAGGATGCGCGGCGTACGTGGTGCGGCCACAAGGGGCGGCGGCGGCGGCGAACGCGGGCGGGTGATGGGTGGCGACTGGCGAGTGGCGTGGGCGGTGTGGGTGGCAAGCGACAAATCTACGAGCGGCGCGGGCGGCTATAGGGTTCTTCGAGTCTTCCAACGGCATGGGCGGAGATTGGCGTCATTAGCTTTTTCGGTTTGCATGCGTGAGAAAAAAAAGATCTGATCGAGAGCTAGGATTTTGGTCTTTGCCTGTTTTCATCTTTTCTTATTGGGTTTATTTATGGGCTTCGAGTGTCGTTTTTGGGCTTTTGGCTACAGGTGCTCACGGGCTGTACTAGATCTTTAAGGCTAATGAGTCAGCTCGCAAGCTAGCTGTTTATCTCTAGTCAAATTTTGCTATATGAACTACTTATGTGTGGTTTTAGTCCTAGGACACTGCCCAAACTCATTTTTAGGGGAAAACACTCTATAAACGTGGTAATTTACCAGTGGACACCGCGCCGATTAAAATAATAATTTTCGGTTGAAAAGGAGAGAGAAATCATGTGAAATATCAAAAATGCCCTTGGGCTCTATCTCCTATCTTTCTTCTCATCTCTCTCTATATTCTCTCTTAGAGACGCATGGGGCAGCGTCGGTTGCCGGGGCTTGAGCTCGTCACGGCGGAGGAGATGGCGAGGACGACGGCCGGCGGAGTGGAACAGGGCATCGGCTACGGCGTAGCGGAGCTGGCGGCCGAAGCAGGTGGGCGAGCGCGCGGTGGCCGGCGGGGTGGAGTTGGGCGCGTCGGCGACGGCGGGCGATCGCACGGCGGCTGGCGGGGCGGGGCGGAGTGGAGCGGCGTCGGGAGAACGGGGGATGAGGCCGGCGGGAGAGGGGGGTAGGATACAGCTGTGCCGGCAGGAGAGGGGGAAGAGGCGACCGCTGCTCTCTCCAGCCGCCCACCGTCGTGATTCTCGCATGCTGCTAGCTGCCGTCGTCGCCGTGGTAGCTGAAGAAGAGAAGAGAATAAAAGAAAAAAGAAAAGAGAAAAGAGAAGGAAACGGAGAAGAGAAGAGAAAAGAGAAGGAAAAGGACAAGAGAGATAGGAGATAGAGCTGACATGTGGTTCCAAGGGCATTTTTGATATTTCACGTGATTTCTCTCTCCTCTTCAACCGGAAATTATTATTTTAATCGGCGCAGTGTCCACTAGTAAATTACCACGTTTATGAAGTGTTTCCCCCAAAAGTGAGTTTGGATAGTGTTCTAGGGCTAAAACCACACATAAGCAGTGTCCTATAGCAAAATTTCCCTTATTTCTAACAAGCTAAAATGACAACTCGACGACAATCTTTTCGTCCGCCCCAGCTACCTGGTAGCATGTTATTTGGGTGATCAAAGATTCGAGGTCTGGCGCGCGGAGAGCGGTGTGATCATCGAACTGGGTTGTTGTGCGACCGAAGCTGCAAGGACGCCGAGT